AGTCTTTTCAGACACTTGCTTCAATGACATGGCTAAAAGATGCAGGACCTCCAGGAGATTAGTTTTTGGGGGAAATTTTTAATTGCACTGGTGCATTACATTGCCCCATTTTTGGTAACTTATCATAGCATTCTAAAATGGCAACTTTTTCTTTAAGGGTGAGATCTTTATGTTTCTTATGCACTTCTTCCATTATTAAAGAGGGTTAACAATTGAATTTTTTTCTTTCACGAAGGAATGAAAACAACTGTACTGTAATTATGGAAAGAAAAAGCAAGAATATAGGGGAATTAGACAAGGCGTGTTAACCCTTCTAATACGGGTGGGGGATTCCACCCAGCCTGTATTCCCGAATGTAACCATAAAGGAGTTATAGTGTAACTTTTTAAAATGTACATGTATCTTTAAAAAATTTTGTAGATTATCAGTAAACATTACAAGGCATTTGTACACAAAGTATCAGATTTTGTAAATTAAGTTTTAACATTTTTAATTAATTATTTGATAGTGTATTTTTTTATTTTTGAGTGTTGACTATCCAACATGCAAAGTCATTTTGATTTTAAAATTAAAAATACTTTTATGCATAAGAAAATTGTCAAATTTCACATGTAAAATCTCTAATAACCTCCTAATATCCTCAAGATAATTATCAAATGTTTTTTTTTAGAAAATTTTTTATAATTTATCTGTTATTTTCACTGTTGTATCTCTGTATGAAATTGGTCAATTTGACCGACCTTGTAACCACCATAAGAAAAAAAGGAAATAAGATATAAGATAAGTTTTTCTCCTAGAATTATTAGAAATTATAACTTGATACCACAAATGATTAGTCTAAATATTTTAAATCTTGTAATATTTTACATATATAAAAATTTATTATTTTTATGTTAATGACCTTTCAGCAGTGTCTGACTAACATTACAGAAGTTAAATGACACGGCGCATGTTTTCCCATGTTACCATATCCAACAATATAAAACTGGCCATTACAAAATGACCTGTCTTGGCTGTTTTTTATTGGATCAGTATTTTGTAAAATACAGTCACATTTTGGTTATAATACATTATATATGTATATACATTATTACTATTAACAAATAAGTTCTTAAATTTCAGTTATTTTTCTTAAAACATGGAACAGTAAATAAAGAAGTATAGAAAGCAATTATCTTGTCCAGTTACAAACTTTTGTATTTGCCGTAATTTGTTAAGCCTTATCAAATTTCGCACGTGGAGAATGTAAAGCAAAATTAATTTTTTAGGTTTTATTTATGCATTTTGAAATAAAATATCATAAATTACTATGTAAATATCACAAAATTCCACTATAATTTATCAAACTTACTACCTAAGCTGTATTTAGGTCTAAAAAAATATGATTTTTGAACTCAATAATGTCTTACTTGGAATCTGCCATGAAAAGAAAGGGGTTTCCATCTAAATACTTTGCAGAGACTTGTAGAACCATGTGGGGGACATACTGAGCTTTCGTAGACTGAAGTAGAGGTATGTAAGCAAGTATTTCCAAAAATGGAAAGAGGTGGTTGGAGCCATTGTGTTTGATTCTCTAAATATAGTAATATCTTAACAAATAGAAAAGATAGGAGGTTATTATTTCATATTCTAGCTTGTCAGTATTCGTACTTGGAGTTCCTAATTCATAGGAAACAATAGACTTTGTATTTGGACGTCATAAACATCTAATCTGAACCAATGCTGCATTTAACATACCACGTGACACACAAAAATCGATATTTAGTTTTTTTTAATATTTATTTTAAATTAAGAAATTAACTAATTTATAATACTAAAATTTGAATTATAATTTACAATTTGATACCAAACTTATTGACATAAATCCTTAAAATAGTAGTTCAATAAAAGTTTGAATGTAAGTCTACATACGTGATGACCTGGCCTTTGACCTGTGACCATAGGAAGACCCGTTTTGGTAGGGTTAATTAGAGGCAATAAGATATACATAATTAAAATGTGACTGTATTTTACAAAATACTGGTCCACTAGAACACAGCCAAAACAGGTCACTTTGTAAAGGCCAGTTTTATGTTACGGGATACGGTAACATGAATGCACCTTCACCACATTATTCAACTTGTGTAATGTTAACCAGACACTGCTGAAAGGTCAATAGAATAAAAATAATAAATTTTTATATGTGTAAAATGCTATGAGATTTCAGCTATTTAGACTAAGCATTTGTGGTTTTGTGTTAAAATCATTATAGAATAGTCATTATAGAATGAAAAAAGTGTAATTTATATTTATTTCCTAATTTTTTATGGTGGTTACGAGGTTGGTCAAATTAGCCAAACCTATAGAGATACAATAGTGAAAATAACAGATACAATATGAAGTTTTTTTATAAAAAAAACATTTGATAATTATCTGGAGGATATTAGGAGATTATAAAGATTTTGCATGTGAAATTTGACAATTTTCTGATGCATAAAAGTATTTTAAATCTCAAAATCAAAATGACTTTGCATGTTGGACAGTCAATATTCAAAAATAAAAATGCATGAGCAAATAATTAATTAAGTAATGTTAAAAATCTGATACGTTGTGTACAAATGCCTTGTAATGTTTACTGATAATCTTCAAAATTTCGTGAAGATACATGTACATTTTAAAAAGTTACAGTAGAACTGCTTTATGGTTACTATACTTATCAAAGTGGAAGGCCTAAGTTTCCTTAGTGTAAAAGCAGAAACTCAGTATTATCCATTTTCATTTACTCATGTCCTTGATTTTCATTATTTTAGCATCTGTTGTTTTGAGCAGTATTAAACTACAAACATTTTGTAAAGAACTGCAGACATTCTGTTACATTTATCGTACTTGTAAGTCATGACCTCTATAACGTGGTTTCTACTAGCAGAGACCAAAAAAAATTGCACCCATGATTATCGATAGAATTGACACAGTAACAGTACGGGATTGCTGGCTGTTCTATTAGTGTTATGCAAGATGTATAAAATGAATATGAACACATTTTTAGAAATGATCTTTAAGATAAATAACAAATTGTGTACAGATTTCTTACTCCTCGATCTCTGTAACAGATTTAGTGAAGTGTAGATTTGAAGAAAAGTGAAATATCCTAATTTCGTTGATTCAAAACCATTGTCAGAGTTACAGTTTATAAATCTTTAACTGTCTCTCGTCTGTACTAACAATACTGAATTAAGTTAATTAACATTACTTTCTGTTTTTGTTGAAAAGGCAGTTGATATCATTTTATGGTTTGTGAACTAAATATTTTCACAGCTTTGAAGACATAAATTTACAATGTTATGGAATGTCCATATAAACTAGCTCATTTTAGGAGATTTAATACATTCGGTATTTTCTTATGATTGTTCTAGTTAAATTTTCTAACACCTATTGGATGGTTAATTATTATTTATAGCATTTTGTTAAATATAGTATGTGAATTATAGAAGAATCAGTATGCTGAAAATTGTTTTAAATTTAAATACTGTAGCTAATGATATGCTGTAGATAACATTCTATAAAATCTTTTTTTAGGAGGTTATAGAACAATTGATAGTTGTTATATATTGTACTTTTTACAACTAGAATTTGCCTTTGTATTACAAAGATTTTTAAAAAAATATTTATACTTTAATATAATAATACTGATTTAATATTATACAAATGAAATATGTTATTGAGTGTCAAGTTTTTTTTTAATTGTAGTCACGTCAAGCATTCAACCACAGTCAGTGGTTGCTGCTGCAAATATAGCAAGTCCAGTATCGGCCATGCCTCAATTACTGACCAATGCCTCTGGTCAGGTGTTGGCTATGGGGCCACAGGTATTTATTTTAACATTATCTATCTTTTTTGATGTTATACATAAAATATGTAATACGATAAAATCATTTAAATATAGTATACATTTTCAGTTGGTTAAAAAGATTTGCTTGTCAAAAAGAAAGTTTAATAATGGCTGGAGATGGCTTGAATGGGTAATGAAGAAAAACTTTAATATAAGTTTAACATAACAGCAAATGTACAACGTTTCGACAAGGTCATTGGTCTCAAAGTGGGTTCCTCGTCATCGAAAAAGAAAGTTTGTTAGTTTGTTATGAAAAATAGGCAGTCACTAGAAATGAATCATATTTTTATTATTTTTTCATCAAAAGAAAAATATGATAAACAGGCAATGATTTAATGCTTCGGTGTTTTTCCTCTAATATTGTTTTTCTGGCAATGATTTAATGCCTCGGTGTTTTTCCTCTAATATTGTATTTCTGGCAATGATTTAATGCCTCGGTGTTTTTCCTCTAATATTGTATTTCTGGCAATGATTTAATGCCTTTCGGTGTTTTTCCTCTAATATT